GTTCAAGACTCGGCCGTCGGGCAGCAGGATTGAGAGGGTATGGTAGACGCGGACGACGTTGTTCTGGGAGAGCTCGGTGAAGGTGTTTTTCTCTGGATCGTACAACTCGGGCACGAACTGCACGTTCTCCTCGTTGAAAGCGATACCGAAAGTCTGGCCGCCGGCAATGAAGACCTTGCCATCTGGGAGGACGACGGAGGTGTGGAAGACGCGCTCGTAGTGCATCGTTCCCTCCTGGCCGGCAGGCTGCACGTCTGGCTTTTGGCCTGGTTCGCCCAGGGTGATGACATGTGCGTTGCTGGTAGCCCAGGACTTGTCGTAGTCAGGCGAACCTCCGATGGTGAGGATCTTGCCCTTCACAGCATCGAACATGACAGCGTTGCCAGACATGGAATCGTCGTCCTCGAGACGCTTCCCGGCTCCCTTGAAGCTGCCTTCTCCTTCCACGTAGTACCAGTTCATAGCTTTGCTAGGACCGGCCTGGAAGACACTGTTCTTCTTCCACCCGAAGAGCCAGCCGTGGTTGTCGGCTCTCCATGGCCCCTCCATGTCATCCGTCAGCATCGGCTTGACTTTGGCACCGGGCAACATAGTCCAGTTCCTGGTGGCAGGGTCATATATCTCTCCATCTTTGGCGATGTTGGAGCCTCCAGCCCAAGAGCCACCAATGACGAAAATCCGTCCATCGGCGAGGGTAGTGGAAGCCTGATACCCACGACGGAGGTGCATCTCAGGACCCTTGATCCACTCATCCATTTCAGCATCGTAGAGACTGGTCTCGGAGGCGTCATTGCCGCCAGTCACAACCATCATTCCGGTACCATCGATGGAAATACCGGGGCAGAACATGTCGTGCTGGGTGTTGGTGACAATACGCTTGGAAACCTCATTGGTGAAGGGGTTCCAACGGGCCATTGCAGTTTGACCACCAGGTGTGGAGTGGAACTGATCCGAGGCCCAGGATGACCAAAGGACGATGTGACCAGAGGCCTCTTGAGCCCCAGCAACAGGCACGACAGGGAAGTCAAGGGTCGGTCCCCAGAGACCATTTTTGGGGTCCCGAGGGATGGTATACAGAGTGGCGTAGAGGTTCAGTTCGGAGATGCCAATCCATGAGGACTCGGTGGCCTCAGTGTTGGTAGTGAGCTTTACGTATCGGGCAGATGTGGGCTCGAAAGCAGACAGGCGCTGTCTGTTGGAGTTGGGCCACATGCCATAGGCGATGGGACCCTTCCAGTTCTTGTTGTCCATGCTGACCCAGACCTCGTGGTGAGTGATCAACCCGTCGTTCTCAGTGTCAATCGGCGGCAGGATAACCAGGGCGCTGACTGAGTAGTGGTTCCTGAGGTCAACTGTAATGCTGTGGCCCTTGGAATCGCCGATAGGGCCGCTTCGCCAGGAAGTGGTGTTGGAGCCGTCGATGGCATTCTGACACGAATAGTCGCTTTCCTCGCTGCTGCATGTCAAGGTCCAGTCTTCCCGGGAAATGCGATGACCTTTGTAAGGAGGCGATTCATCGAAGAAAGTCGGTACCCAAGACGGCTCGTCGACAGGGCCATAGCCAGAAACGCGTTCTGAGTTCATTGCTTCGAGCATGTAAGTGCCCATAGCATTCACACCTTTGAGGGAGGCTCTGAGGAGGAGCCCAGCCCATTGCAACTTCATCACGGCGGCCAGGTTGAAGTGAAAGGGGAATGAGAAGAGGAGGAGAAAGTGTTATGTGGAAATCCCGCTGGTCTAGGAAATGTCCTAATGGATGGGAAGAGCGCAAATATAAGAACAGCAAACAGTAGTACGGAGTATCCGCCTAGCAGACCGCACCCCCGCTCATCCGTCAATCTATGATCTGGAGACTATCAGCATGCCTGCGACGAAGAGTGGCCCAATAGGCTAGCATAACAGCATATTCCAAGTGGCAAAGCAAAATCGTGGTCTCATTGAGGTAAAGTTCAGCACGACTGGAGCCCGAGATGAGGAGACTCTCCACTCAGTCGATGTGGAGGTTGGATACATACGTAGACTCGCTTCAACATGTGATATATCAACGGAATCCTTGGAATCATGAACAGACCTGACACAGTGCTGGGACTTGTGTTGCAGCGTTTTCTTCGCTAGAAGACATTAAAGCAACAGTGTGGTAGCAACTTCCAAGTGATATTCGCAGCGCGGGACTCTTCAGCTCGCAATCGGTGGAGCCTTCAAAACTCGGGTTTTCGGCTGGTCCACGATCGATGAGGGAAATAACCCGCGATCAACATAAAATCCACCTTTGGACCCCACCGTTCAGCTAAACCGTGGGCCACCACTACGGCGTGCTTGTCTTGAAGTGGAGGTGCATGTGCGGGTGAAGCTTCCTTGAAATCGTGCGATCGCTGTCTTTGATATGGGCAAGGAGTTGAGCTAAATTCATATTGTTGGGTGCAAAGACGTCCACTTCCTTGATTGAGGCGGGCCTCTTCCAGTATTTCCGTGGTATTATGCTCCAAGGTGTGTTCGACTGCCGCAAGGTCTGGAACTGAACCGCCCTATGATGTTCCTTGAACTAGTGAGTTTCACTTTCAGCTCCGCCAGAAGATCCATACGTAGCCGATGCTTTGGATCAATCGCCAGTTGATATCCGAGATGACGAGGCACGATGAAGATCTGCCCATGAGTTAGCGACTTGCGGGGCGTCAGGTAGGACTGATCAATTCTTGCGGACTTTGGTGGTCCGATTGACCAATTATCTCACTGAATTACTGAGTATGAAGTATGTGCTGCTGGTTGAGGGGAGCTCATGTCGAATAGTCGGTCTTGTTCGGTGCGTGAGGTGATAGACATTGTGGAACTCGGGGTTAGCGCTCCTAGAAGCCGATACGAGGACCTTGTTTCTTGGACTGTCGTGTAGCGTACTCTAAACACTTAATATTGTGCGCCTCCCCGGCAATTGGAGCTCGCTTTGTTGACCTCAATCATCATAGTTCACAATCACCATGAGTTGGGTTGCGAGGAAAGCCAACATTCAGGGTGACATCTGGTAAGTCTCCCTAGACTGCACATTCTTTTGAGATGCCATGGTTTGCTGATCCTTCTCTCCATTAGGCCCGGCCTGCCAAAAAGGTTCCAGACCTTCCTATTCTTCAAGATCAGGAAGCCAGATGAATTCAAGACGCGACTCAAATCTTTCGTGGAGGCCGGCGGTATCACCACCGCCCAGGATGCTTGTAACATGAAGAACAAGATCTTGGAGGCAAAGACACAAGCTCAGAAGCTGGGTGTCCCGGCCAAGATTCAGCCCTTGCCAGGCGTCAACATTGCCTTTGCCTCGACTGGTCTAGCAGCTGTAAGTCATAGCCAAGGCGCCATGCTAGAGAGACTCGCTAACTGATCACGTTAGCTGGGAAAATTCACCTTCAACGAGGCCACCGTCAAGAGGGACAGATATCAATACAAGATCTTCAAGAAGAACCAGCTCCGTGGTGGCTTGTTCGGGAAGGGCATGTATGACGACCTGGTGGGCGAGGGCTGGGACGAGCCGAAAGAGCTTCGAGAACAGTTCAAGCCGTCTGCGGGAAAGCGGCTGATTGATGGCGTGCTGATGGTAACGGCGAGTCGTGAGGATCACCTGAAATACCAGGCCAATCGCGTCAAGGAGTACTTCATTAAGGAGCCGGGCAGTGGTGATGCTGATACTTATCGGATCAGCAATGACCCCGTCCTTGAGTTCCCGCTGATCAGCCATGGTCGAACTCGCCCTGCAAAGGGCAAGGAACAGTGAGTCCGCTTTGTACAGTTATGGTGATCAGCACGGACTGACTGTGATTTTCAGCTTCGGCTTCGAGGACGGCATTAGCCAGCCCTTGATTGAGGGATTGGATGAAGTGGCGCCCAAGGGCAAAGAGCCAAAGGCTGTCAAGTCAGGGTAAGGTGTTCTGGAGCTTTTCGGTATTGATTATCGGAACTGACAAAGGGTATTCGGATTGCAGATTGATCTTCGCCAAACACGACGGCGACGATATGAACCAGCCGGAATGGGCCGAGGACGGCAGTTTCCTCGTAATCCGTGAGCTTCAACAGCTCGTCCCTGAGTTTGAGAAGTAAGTTTTCTACGCGTCGGGAGTAGAGTCAGTACTGATTGAACACAACTTCAGGTGGCTCGAAGACAACAAACACAATGCGCCGTTCGCCGCGAGCTCCGATAACCCGAAGGAAAAGCTTGCAGCGTATTTGGTGGGCAGATGGAGGAACGGTACGTGTCGATCTATCAAGTTCCAAGCTCATTTTGCTCATGAACATTCACAATAGGAACCCCCGTCGACGAGAACCCTCACGACGACAAAGACGCAAGCCTTTTCCGATCCAACAACTTTGACTTCCACCCCACCAACAAGCACGACAGATGCCCCTTTGCAGCTCATATCCGCAAGATGCGGCCCCGCGGCGACCTGGAACACGATCACGCGGTTATCATCCGTCGTAGCATCTCCTACGGAGGCGAAGTGACGCCTGAAGAAAAGGCCGCACAGAAGTCTGATGATGAGAACGAGCGCGGCTTGATGTTCGTGTGCTACCAAAGTGACATCCGCAACGGATTCAACTTCTTTACCACCCGCTGGGCTAGCAACCACCACTTCCCGGACCGCAAGTCGAACTTTGTTGGCGAGCACGGTCCTGGTATCGATGCCATTGTGGGCCAGAGACTTGCTCACCACCCGCCTCGCTCTATCGGTCTGCCTGATGGCAAGGATCCTACTGAGGCGCGTATTGGACTCGACCGCTGGGTGATCCCACGAGGGGGTGAATACTTCTTCACGCCATCCATCAAGGCGCTGAAGGAATATCTGACTGGCCCCCCTGATTATCCGCCAGCGCTTGCCGATCCTTGAGAGTTGTTGTCTTTTAGGGAGCAGACCTGTTAACCGCATGACGAATATAAACCATGAGCAATTCATCAAGAGCGGTGAACGTATCCATCCAGACTGAAAGTCCACCGCTGTATCACCACCCTGGCCGTTCCCGCGTCTGTCCAAATAGGGCCTGCGTAGTCAGCTGTCGTGGGTAATTTATCGCGCTCTAGACGCGATATGCTCGGGACAACCTTCGTATCTGAATCATGTAGTCTCTTCCAAAAGAAGGCGAGGTAGGAACAAACGGGGCTGGTATTTGTGGGAAAGAAAAGAAGCATGCCGCTTATCTCTTATCGTCACCTCTTATCCCTTACATCTTCCTCCTGCAACAAAAAG